CTGGAACCTGAGCACTGGGCACACCAGAGGGGCCGGCTGGTTGGTCTCCTGACATAATCATTCTAAGTAAGGGGTGTTGGGAGTTGTTGTAGCACCAGAACAATCTCCCTGGGAAGCTGTGCGGCCTTCGAGGCCTCTGTCAGTGTCCCCTCCAAACCTGGGTGGTGTCTGATGCAACTGAGCTGTCCTTGTCATCTGGACAGGGGAAAGGGATGCGTAGTAGTGACACTGTTGGCTGGAACCCCAGGGCTAGAGCCTTTGTGTCCCCCGAGAAGCAGCTACCCTCAGTCAAACTTTGCTTTCGGGGCTGTGGCAGGACATGCTCGCTGGTGAAAGGTGCTCTCCTAACACAACCAACTCCTGGGCTGGCTTCCCCTTCCTCACACCTCCATTTCCTCACCTGTAAAACGGAGAGTTTAGACTCCTCTATAATTTAAGATGTTTCAGCAGCACTACTATTTTTTTAGACATCTACACCAAAGTCCAGTATGCAAAACATAAAGGTATGGTGTTTTGTTTTATTAAAGATGTACCCATTAGGGGGTGCCTGGGTGGCTCAGTCGGTTAAGCATCTGACAGGCTCAGACCATGATCCCAGAGTCCTGGGATCCAACACCACCCCGGCCCGAGCTCCATGGGGCCTCTGCTTGGGTGGGAGTCTTCTTCTCCCTCTCCCTCTGACTCCACTCATGTTCTCTCTCTTTCTCTCTCTCAAATAAATAAAATCTTAAAATAATTCTTTAAGAACAAAAAATGTACCTGTTAAAAAGGCAATTAGTAAGAACTGGGAGGCCATAAGGATGAACGGGATCATTGCTGATTTTTACATCAAACTCTGCTCCCAATTCTGCCGTTTTTTGGTTGTACAATATCAACAAAAATCAGGATTTTTTTTTTCAGATTTTATTATTTATTTGACACACAGAGAGCACAAGCAGGGGGAGGAGCAGAGAGAGATGGAGAAGCCGACTCCCCACTGAGCAGGGAGCCCTGATATACCGGGCTGCATCCCAGGACGCTGGGATCTTGATCTGAGTTGAAGGCAGACGCTTAACTGACTGAGCTACCCAGGCGCCCCCAAATCAGGAAAATTCTGATCACTGAGTAGTTAAAAACTCATTTTTTAACTTAACCTTGCAATCTCAGGATACTGAAAGAGGAAGAGTAAAGCTTATTTGTGTTGTTTCAAAGTTGAAACAGCAATGTATTAGGATGAACCCTATGTAATTGCCTGTATCCTAATGTTGTAACCTACAAAAACAGCAAATTCGTATAATTCAGTAAATAATAAGAGCTAACATTAATTTACTATGTGCCAGGCCCCCGCTAAATGTTTTGGAAGCACGTTGTCTTTCAGCCCACACCCAACGCTCCGCCGTGCAGATAAGGACCTTGAGGCAGGGAGCTGTCTGAGCTTGTCCAGGTGACCAGAGCCTCCGGGGTGAAGCGATCTGGCGGCCCGGGTTGTGGGGGCTGGGCCCCCTCGGGCTAGTCCGCCTCCTCCGGCCGCCTGGAGGGAAGAATCCAGCCTCTGTGCCCTGCGGCGCCCACCAACCCGGGAGCTGTTTGTTTTCTTAAAGGGCTTAGCCAGCTCCTGAGCAGCGGCGGCTCTGCAGAAGCCGGATCCGTGAAAGGGGCTTTGTGTGCCGGCTGCGGAGGGCCGCGGAGAGCCAGGGCCCAGCCGGGGCGGCAGCTGCGGTCCAGCCCACCTGCGCCGTCCCCAGAAGGGGCCGGGGAGGGGACGCTTGTGCCCGGGGCCCTCGCTGCCTCCTGCTTGGCGGTGACCGTCCTCCCCAGGGGCCCGGTGTGGGAGGCAAGAGACTGGTGCCTACAACGTGGCCGCCAACCCAGGAGCAGCCGCAGCGCTCGGGGCAGTTGTGGGAACCGCCCACGATCTCAGAAAACTGGACTCAGAGCCCTCTTTGCGATTCAACAGGCCTTGTAGGTGATGAGGCTGATGCTGCCTTTGGAGGCCTGAGAACCACTGCTCTGTGATCTGATCTGGAAATACTGGGGCCAAGAAACCAGGGCTTTTAAGCCCCTTTCTCCCAGAAACTTGGAAATGAAATTCATGTGTTAGAGAGTGATGGAGAAAAGACAAAGATGCTGGTGCAGTTAAATTCATTCTAAAAACAGCAGCCACTTTGAAGGTCCACACACCCCTCATAGAGTGTGAGGAACTTAGCTCCGTGCTCATCTACGGAGCTGGCCTGTGCTTAAAGTCTACAGAAAATAAGCTTTTCCCTTGACTGTAATATGGGCTTTGGAGTCCACAGTATGTCATGTATGCTTCTTTACAGGAAAATATTCTCCAGAACTGATCTCCCCAGAGACATCCTAAAATATCTCCAGACCAAAGATCTTGTCTTTATTCATCTGGATCTTCACTCATGTATGGAACACGGTGGAATTAGGAGCTGCCGGTTTACTACCAGATGTTTTACAAGTCAGTTGCCTCTAACTAATCTCCCTGTAAACTGGTGATGAAACTCCATCAATTTGAGGTTTCTCAGGAACACCTGAAAATTAAGCAAATAAATAAGGTGGATGACAATCTTCGGGGAGAGAGAGGTGTCCAGCTCTGAAGGTAACCCCCCACAGGCCTTCCTCTAACTCCTCCCTCCTGCCTCTCTCCCAGGCCTTCCCTCTGCTCCCAGCCTCTTCCCAACATCCTCTTCTCCATTCATTCATGGAGGCTTTTTTTTTTTTTTTAAGATTTTATTTATTTATTTGGCAGAGATCACAAGTAGACAGAGAGGCAGGCAGAGAGAGAGAGAGGAGGAAGCAGGCTCCCTGCTGAGCAGAGAGCCTGATGCAGGGCTCGATCCCAGGACCCTGGGATCATGACCTGAGCCGAAGGCAGAGGCTTTAACCCACTGAGCCACCCAGGTGCCCCTCATGGAGGCTTTCAACCCACAAATGTTTTTTGAGTATCTCCTACATTCTTGGCACCATGGCAGCAAACTCTGACAAGACCAGGTCCCTGGCCTGATGGCAATGAAAGCCTGGGGCAAAGTCGGGAGAACCAGGGAGGCACACAAAAACCAAACATTATATAATGGAAGACAGGGTGATAGGATAGTGGTCAGGTAAGTGGTCAGGAAGGAAGGTCTCTTTGAGGAGGTTTAAGGCTAAGAATTGCAGTTTTTAGGCTAAGCCTACCAGGTAGGTAAGGAGTCAGGGAAGAGTGTTCCAGGGAGAGAAAACAGCAAGCGCAAAGGCCCTGAGGCAGGAAAGAGCTTGTTGGGTTTGAAGAGCTAGAAGGTCACTGTGGCTGGAGCTGGTACATGAAGAGGAAGGAGAGGAAATGAGATGAGAGATGGAGGCAGGGCTGGGTCACTGAGAGCTCTGTAGACTGTGGTAGGGAGGGTGGGTTTTGTTCTCAGTATAACGGGAAGCCTTCTGAAGGCTTGAAACAATGCCTTGATGGTGGTTTGTTCTAATTAGAGAATGGACCTTATATGAGAAAGGGAGGCAAGGAAAAAAAGGGAGATCCATTACGAAATGTAGCTGTTTTCTGGGTGGTAGGATCAGAGACAGAGGGCGGTCATTAGGACAGGTGACCAAGAAGTTTAGAGGTCCTAGGGTCCTGGGAGAGGATTCCCTGGTAAGTAGACACGGAGAACAGGGTCTCTGAGTGATGGCGCTCCAAAGTGCAAGGGAAGAAATGAAACCCCACCACTTCTGTTCATAATGGGTCATTTCCCTTGCGGGAAGTTTCAGCTTCCTGATTCTGGGGCTCTTGTGTGATGGAATTTGGGGGAAGAACGTGTGGTACATAATATTGGTGAGACCTGCTTGCTCCCTTTGGGGTCATCCTCTCAGCCTCTCTCTGAGAGCAGACTTTCTGCTCCAGCTCAGAAGCCCCTCTGCACTAGCAGGTGAGGAAGTGAGTCAGTGGTCCCCCAATCACCAGCCTCCACCCCTAAGACAGGTGCTCTTGCTTCCTCCTTCCCACCATAATTCCTCCAGCCTGCCCAGACCTTTGTTGGGAGAAGTCAGAGGAGTCCTGAATGGGACTCTGCTAAATGGGACAGCTCCCTTAGGGCTGAAGTGTAGGGCGCTCCGTGGGGGAGCAAAGGCCCTTTTTAGCCCAAGGGTGAGAGATTTCTGGATTAAATCCTGCCCCATACTCAGGAAGGCCTTGTCTGAGGGGGTGAGCAAGAACAGCCTAGTGCTCTCTCCCACAGTCCCTCTTCCCTGTCTGTTGCCCTGTACACCACCCACCTCTGCCTCCAGGACAAGCCCACAAGCTGCCATCTTCTCAACACCTGCTCTGCTGAGGGCTTAACAGGGATCATCTAAGTTTTTATACTGAGGGAGCCCTATAATCCCAATTTTGTAGATGAGAACGGTCTACACAGTTCAGGAAAGCCAAGCTATCTGTCCCCCAAAGCAGAGCCCAGGGCCCTAAACTGCTTCTTCCCGGCAAACTGGACCTGAAGCAGATTGGGGCTGAAAGATAAATGAATGGATGAAAAAAATAAATGAATGTAAGGGCTCATGGATGCTGGGAGAGGCAGACATCAAAGCCAGATTGTCCAAGCCTTCCCAGGTGAGGTCTTGTTCCCAGGGTCCAGGTGAAAAGTGGCGGGAAGGGGATGAGGGGCAGCCTGGTCCCGGGAATGGGTGTGAGGACGCAAAAAACATCCTTGATTGGCCCCCAAGGTAGGCGCCAAGGTTTGGGCCTTGCGTCCCTCCCTGTCCAGCACCCACAGACCCTAGTCGTTACTAGGCGCTCAATAAAGAGCAGATGAAATTTTGGCTCATCAGAATTCCTGGCAGTCAGCGGCTACTTAGTAAATATTGACAATTGATAATTGTCCGACGAAGGGTCCCCACCTGCGGCCCACTAGGCTCCGGGGGCGGTGCTTGGCCCCCGCCTCCCACGCGCGGTGCCTAATCGGCCCCTCGCAGGACCCGGCAGCGCGAGGGAACGCCCGGGGCGGGGCCAATTTGGGGCGGGACCTGACCGAGGGGGCGGGCCCAGGCCAGGCTCGCGGGGGTCTGCGGTGTGAGCTGGGAGAGGTCTTGCTTGCTGCTTCCCGCTCGGAGGGGCTGGAGCCGGGGTGCGGATGCTGGAAGTTCACATCCCGTCGGTGGGACCCGAGGATCCCAGGCAGAGCCCAGAGAAAGGCCACATGGTGAGCAGGGACACTGGCTGGGAAGGGGCATGGGACCCGCCGCATTTCCCCGCGCCACGCGTAGTGGGGATCCCGCGCCCCGGCTGCAGCATCCGAGCGCGGCGGGTCAGGCGGTCCAGAGACCGCCAGCCGAGGGTCTCGGGCCGCTTGGATTTGGCAGCTCCGTGGACGATGGTCCGGGTTCACGGGGGACTGCACGTAGCAGAGGGGCGGGTGCATTCTCCCCATCTCCCCAAGTGTGTGGGCAGCGTGGGAGGGTCCCCGGGGATTGGCTGGGCTCCCAGGCCGCTTTGTGCCTTTGAGCGCGGGAGGGTGGGCGAGTTGCGGCCGCGGGTCCTGTTGAGCCCTCCCGCTGGGCCTCACGCGCACCTGGCCGCCCGCCCGCGCCCGCCAGGTGTTCCGAGTGGAAGTGCTGTGCCGCGGGCGCAGGCACATCGTGCAGAGGCGCTACAGCGAGTTCCACGCGCTGCACAAGCGGGTGAGGTTGCGCCGCCGACCGACCGACCCCGGCCAGGCTCCTATCCAGCTCCTGGGAGACGGGCGGACGAACTGCGGCCCCAGCCTCTGCCACCCCCATTACCGCCCCGCTCCCTCCGGTCCTGGGCGCAGACCTCCCTTCCGGCTTCGGAGTGGACGCAGAGGGGCAGGGCCCAACTTGTATGGTCAATGCCAATCGCGTGGCGGGCCATCCCTTGGGCGTTTGGGGCGGGGGATGGGGGAAGACTGGGTCCTGTCCCAACCATCACTCACTACGGTCTGCCCCGGGGTAGAGCCTGAAGTCTGGCAGTGGGGGCAGGGAGGACCGGGGGAGACTCTTGGGCGCAGTGAGCTTGAGGGCTCAAGCAGAATGCTGTGATGGCACCGCGGTAACCTCCTGGCAGATCAAGAAACTGTACAAAGTGCCCGACTTCCCCTCAAAACGCCTGCCTAACTGGAGGAGCAGAGGATTGGAGCAGCGGCGGCAGGGCTTGGAGGCCTATATCCAGGTGTGCAGGGGGCTAGCTCTGTTAACCCCCAGCCTGCTGGACCAGTGGTGTGGACCGGGGTGGGGGGGTGGTGTGCGGGTACAGGGAGTGAAGGGGACCCACTCTCCAGCATGCTATGTACGACCCCAAGCCTCAATTTTCTGAACAGTCATGGGTCCAAACAGCTGTGTTGAGAGAACAGGATGAGGTAACACATAGGCAGGTGGTTTCTGCTCAATGAAAGCTAGTTCTTGCTTTCCTCCAGGGTGAGAGCCTGGGCTACCGTTAATACTGAGGATTTGGGTGGGGACCCTTCTCCCTCTTCCCCACACAGTGATGCCAGATTCCAGGCCACGTTGGCTTCCTGGGCTTAGGACCCATGGAGTCACCCAAGGCCCAGTGTTCAAAAGGTACCCAAGCTTGGTTTAATGCTCTGCTCGTTCTTGAAATTCCTGGTCATTTTAGAACCCCCACTCCCTCCATTTTGCACTGGGCTCTGTATGTTACACAGCGGGGTCTGATTACAGGTTCCCTCTGATCCCTCCAGGGTGTCCTGTACCTGAACCAGGATGTGCCTAAGGAGTTACTGGAATTCCTGAATCTTCGGCATTCACCGGCAGACTCTAAGGCCAGCAGCTGGGGGTGAGTGCCTCTGGGGGCCATGGCCAGGCAAGAGAGAAGGGCCCCAGTGCTGGGGGCACAGGGTCTCTTTGCAGCAAGCAGGTGAGGAAAGGTTTTACTTATTATTTTTAGATTATTTATTTGAGAGAGAGTATGAGAGGGGAGGTCAGAGGGAGGAGCTGACTCCCGGTAGAGATGGGAGCTGGAAGCCCAACTCAAAGGCAGGGATCATGACCCCAACCAAAGGCAGTTGCTTAACCAACTGAGCCACCCAGGCGCGCCTTATTATTTATCTTTGAGGAAAGGTTATAGAGGGCAAGTCCTTTTTCTTCTTAAAGCTGTCAGGCATGGGCCTGTTTCTTCTTTGAGACGTGACCTCCCTCATTAGCTTTCTTGGCGGCGGGGATAGAGTGCCTATTTTCTCGACAGTCTTGGTTACCCCAGCCACCTCCGGAACTGAGCTTGTTACAAATAGAAGCAGTGGTCCCCTGGGAGGCGAAGTGCTGGGCGTGCGTGTCTCCACCCCTTCCTCACGCGCGCGCCTGCCTCCCCCCTACTCCCCCATCCCCCTCACCAACCGCAGTTCACAGTGCGTCTCCTCTTTTCAGAGCCCTGGGGGAGTTCCTGCCGAATGACAGCAGGCAAGTCAAAGCCCCTGCCGCCCCCTAGTGGCCGTGCGCAAGGAGGTGGCCTGAGGCTGTCGGCCTATCTCCCCAACTGCTAACTCCCCTCCACCCCACCCCACCCCCGCCCCCAGCCACCATCCTGGTTTCTGTTGGTGCCTCCTGAGCCCACTTACAACCCACCTTTTCCTTTTGGGATCCCTAGTCTCTCCCCTGCCTCTCCCTCACTGTTCTGGACTCTTCCCTCCTAGTTCCCAGCTGCACCACCGGCCTGTCATCAGCTTCTACACGGATCCCTACATCTGCAGCCCATCCTCAGGTGAGGGGTAGGGCCTAGATGCCAGGATGGGAATCCAGGGTGAACCTGCCATTTTCAGCTCAGGACTTCAAGGCAGCATCTCAGGCCTACTGCCTGCCTTTGGGGCCATACCTGTCTTGGGCTGCTGTGGCCTGCTTTGTTTTCCTTCAGAAAGCGGATGTGGGGAGATAAACTTGGCACTCCTGGTCTCCATTCCTCACCAGCCTGGCTTTACCAAGCTAATGTGAACAGAATGTAAGCAGGACATGCCAAGGCCTCATTTGGGATGGCCAGCTTTTCTAGGGCCTTGGCAGGGACCTCTATTCCTGAGGAGGGGGCTGAGCCTATGGGTTCAGGAGCTCACCTAACTACAGACCTGAGGCCAGGCCGGCCCTCCATCTTTTCTTCCCTTCCAGTCCCCTTGCTCCTATTTTTTTTTCTGTCCCACAGAGCCTCTGCCCAACGTGGTGGTGAATGGTGTACTCCAGGGCCTCTACGGCTTCAACAGGCCAGCTGAAGCTCAGCCAGAGGCATCTTGTCATCCTGCTCCTTTGCCAACGATGCCCTGACCAGCCCAGAGGCCTATGGGCCACCTGCCAGGACAGGCACATGCCTCAGTGTATGTGCCCCCTTCTCAGAGGAGGCGGGGTCCCCCCTGGCCCAGACCCAGGACTTACCCACCCTAGGTGTCAGGGCAGGGACAACAGGGGATAAGGAATAAAGGGAGAAGTCCATTTAGAGGCAGGCAATGAAAAAGAAGAGGTGTATTTCTTCCCCTATACCAGAAGAGGGCAGGGGACAAAAAGTGGCACCTTAGTGGCAAAGGTTAGAAGCAAGGAGCAAAAAGTTTCTGGTTGCTATTTGTGAGTAGTTATCAGGGAAGGAAGGGTCAGATCAGAGCCCCCAAACAGGGGACAGCACCCCCTGCCACAGGATCCCAGACATTCTGGGACAAGGACTTCAGCAGCTGTCGCAGGCCCAAGAATCCAGCCCACACAGTGATTATAAAAAAAAAAAAAAAATCATTTTTTTTTTTAATTGGTCAGCATTGGTAGGACTTTGTTACAAAACCAGGCCGGTAGGTAGGCCTGCGGAATGTGCGGGGAGGGGTCCACTCTGTCAGAGGCCAGCACTGGGGCCAGTGCAGCACGGAACCCTGCGGCAGCCAGTCTCCACCCAGGGGAAGGCAACAGGGCTGCACAGATGGTGGCTCAAAGGGAAGAGGTCCCGGGGGCCCTACTCCTTGGCGATGGCGAAGGGCTTCTCCACCTCGATCTTGCCACAGTCTGCAATCGTCACATCCTTCAGGGGCTTGTCCCGACTGTCGGTCTTGGTGCTCTCCACCTTCCGTACTACCTCCTGGGAAGGTAGAGCAGAGCTGAGTCAGGAGGTCCACCCCTCAAAGGAGAAGAGCCCCAGAATCTGGCCGGGAAAATCTGCCCCCATGGGACAAAGAGCAGGCAAACCTTGGGCCCCCCCCAAATCGTAATGGAATCCTAGCTGGGGAGAGCCTAGCTGTAACATGAGGCAGTAGTTTTGATCCTCTGCAGCGGGACTAGGCAGAGCTAAGGGAGAACAAGAGGAGGGTGGCTGGGGAGTGGTACCCAGTGGCCTCTCCGGGATGACAGTGTGTTCGGCTGGGTTCTGCACAACAGAGGGTAGTGCCAGCCTCTCACTGAGCAAGTGAAATAGAGGCTCCTGTCCCTGTGCAGGACACAAAAATTGAGAACTTGGGGGCAGAGACACATAGGGTAGTTCCTGATTCCCCCCAGATTTGGACATAGGAACACTGGCAATTTATGGGTCCCTACTGGGAAAGGGATAAACTACATGGTGTCCCTGCCCGTGGATATCCATTTCCTGGGGAAGGCCACCCAGGTTTAGCCCTTGCCCCCCAAACTCACCATGCCTTCCAGAACTTTGCCGAACACCACATGCTTGCCATCTAGCCAGGCTGTCTTAACCGTTGTGATAAAGAATTGGGAGCCATTGGTGTCTTTGCCTGCATTGGCCATGCTCACCCAGCCAGGCCCGTAGTGTTTCAGCTTGAAGTTCTCATCGGGGAAGCGTTCACCATAGATGCTCTTTCCTGGGAAGAAAGAATAGAGCAAGGAGCTGAGGTGGCCCAAATCAAGCACATCTTTGGGGTGAGGATTCCAGGGACTCAACCTGTCTTTGGTCAGGCCAGGCTCCAGTGGATTATAAGGACATAAAAGCTGTTCACTTCCTTCCCTCTGGTCTCAGAGCCAAACCATGCTGACAGACCAAGTGGGGCATGAGGCCAGATTGATTTAGTAAACTCCCTATTCCATTGGTTACTTTGAGAACATAACTGAGTGGCTTTTAAATAAGGCAAAGATCAACAGCTACTCTTGGCTATGGCCAGAGAGGTCTGCCACAGGAACTGTGAAGTACTCTGGTATAGAGAGGTGCTTTGCAGAAGCAAAGAAAAGGACAACTGTGGCTGATCAGCTTTTCTTTCTCACAACACAGAAGATAACTGAGATGAGTGGGGAGGGGCTGCCACTTGGGTTCTGGATAATCAAGCGCCTCTTACCACTGAACACAAAATAAAAGCTGGGTGTTGATGTGTATAGTGTGTCTATCCACAAAGGATCTGAGGCCCAGGTACATGACGAAGGGAGCTGGGCAGACCCTGACACCATTTCAGAAATCCTCATAATTAAGTTCCCAGAGCTGCTTTCAGGAGAAATCTTGCCCCCTACTTTCTCCCTGTCTCCTCTCGGGAGATTCACAGTGTGCATTAGTGACTATAGGTCCTGGAAAAACCCAGTAACGAGCTTCATTTTGTTTTACCCAACATCTTTCAAACTCATGTACAAAACCTGTACCTATTTGTGGCAACTCCTGGGTCAAGTGCTGGCTCAGAGTCTCCTCTCCATGAGAGTCTTCCTTGTAAATCTCCAGCACCTGCAGGGTTTCTGCCAGAAACCCACCACAGCTCCCTCCATGGCTCTGATCACTTTCCCAACTCATGGAAGAACTCTTCATTTTAAACTCAATAGATTTCATCATTTTTCCCTCCAGACTTCAGTTATTCTTTTGACAACTTTTCCTTTGCCCACTGTCCATGCAGCTCCCACCTGCATTAACTACTCGTCCTTCCTCTCCTGCCAACCCCACTGCAGTAGTGACTAATGCTCAGAGTGGGAACCGTGTACGCCGGAGACAGTCACGAGCAGTTTACACACAGAAACACGGCCCCATTATCCTCCCTCAAACTCCTTTGCGCCTAGGTCTTCCTCCCGTTCAAGCTCTCCGTGGATCCTCCCTCCACAGAGGACAAGGCCAGGCCCCCCAGGCCTGGCCACAGCCCAGCATGGGCTCCCCGTGTGATGCGTGCTCTCCATTTCCGAACCCCACCTTCAGCCAAGCTCCTGCACAGAACAGCAGTGGGTTCATCTTAGCCCCGCCTCTTTGTCCAAGTTCTCCCCGTCCAGGACCCTGCCCAGATACTCCCTCACAAGCAAGAGGCCACTACTGACCAGCTGGGCCGGAGCGACTCTTCTGCTTGCCAGCACCTGGCAGTGGCTGACTTACCACGCGCCAGGCAGCTACCCTGCAGCACCCCAGCTCTGCCCACTCTACACAAGAAGGTGAAGCTCAGAGGACTCACTTGCCTGAGGTCACAAAGCACGAGGACGGCAGACCTCACCCAAATGTGTCTGACCCCAAGCATACAGTGCTTTGTATGGCGTCTGCTCCGTCTCAGGCACTGTTGCCGATGGCCATCACTCACATTCCGTACTGTTCCACAGCTTCCATGTCCTGTTCCCCTGGCTCCTCCCACCTAGACAGTGAACAACCCAGCAAGAGCCTGACCTAAAGCCACTGACCCACGTGTTTCACTTTGCTCCCCACCCCCAGGGGGTACCTCAAGAAAAGTCACCAAGGCTGTGGGCCCTGACCGGCAGGGGTGAGAGCCACACGACCCCCCCACCCTTCTCCTCCCCTTTGTCCTGGGGTCCCTGTACAAAGAAGGCCAGAGCTGGTCCCCATGAGGGTGCTAGTCCTGCTTCTGGAGCTGGGAGAGGAGGAGGCTCGTCTGCCCAGCACAATCCAGCCCTCCCAGCTTAAAGGCTGCACCAAGAGAGCCTGGTGCCCAGAGGGCCCGAGGTTACCTCCAGTGCCATCTCCCCGGGTAAAGTCTCCACCCTGGATCATGAAGTCCTTGATCACACGATGGAATTTGCTGTTTTTGTAGCCAAATCCTTTCTAGAAAAGGGAAGGCGAAGGTGAGAAGTGGCATGTGACACCAGGCAGATACTAGACCCTCCATGAACCCAGCCCACAGCTCCACCTCCCAAAAGAGACACCCAGCCCACAGCTCCACCTCCCAAAAGAGACACCACAGATTCGTCATTCAATGTGCCATACAAGCAGTGACCAACAGGCCAGGCACACAGCACAAAGACCCAGGAGAGGCTAAGACTGCACACTCCTCAGCCTTTATACAATTCTACTTTACATGTCTCCACCTTTCCCCCCTCATTTTCCTCTAATCTTAAGAACAGATGCAAGATGGGCCAAAAAACAAGTTACCTGCTGAGTCACTGCAGGGTTGGAATACAGACATTTTTTTTCTTTGGTAATTTTTTATTCTGATTCCAGTATATTAAGATACACCATTATATTAGTTTTAGGTGTACAATACAGTGATCAACAATGCTATACATCACTCAGTGCTCATCCTGGTAAATGTACTTTTTTTTAAAATATTTTGCAGCAGTCTTTTTTTCTTTTCTAAGATTTTTATTTATTTATTTGACACAGAGAGAGAGAGAGAGCGTGTGATCACAAGTAGGCAGAGAGAGAGGGGGAAGCAGGCGCCCCCGCTTAGCAGAAAGCCCAATGTGGGGCTCAATCCCAGGACGCTGAGATCATGACCTGAGCTAAAGGCAGAGGCTTAACCCACTGAGCCACCCAGGTGCCCCTTGGTAAGTGTATTCTTAATCCCCACCACCTGTTTGTTCTCTAGAGTTAAGAGGAATACAAACTTTCTTAAACAGGGCACTCCTGTTTCTTTAAAAACCTGGGAAGCTCTGGGCCCCTTACCCTTAAGAGAAAGTTCTGGTGTACAGGCCACAAACTAGTTTCCACAGATATGTTTTCCTCGATTACTGCAATGTCTTAAATTTTTTTTTGTCTGGGAGCCTGGGTGGCTCAGTTGTTAAGCATCTGCCTTCAGCTCGGGTCATGATACCAGGGTCCTGGGATAAAGCCCCACATCAGGCTCCCTGCTCAATGGGGAGCCTGCTTCTCCCTCTCCCACTCCTCCTGCTTGTGTTCCCTCTCTCACTGTATCTCTAACAAATAAATAAACAAAATCTTAAAAAACCAAAACTTTTTTCTCAAAAAAAAAAAAAATCCGTATTTCTGGATTTAGTTTAAAACCTCCAGAAGATACGATAATACCAGGTTCCTAGAGCCGCAGGACAGCGGTCAGCTGCTGGTACTCCGTGAGGGTTACCGCTGTAGATGGGCCACTCTCTGCACTTCAGTTCACTGCCAGCTTTACGTGCCAACTTCACTTGAGTTCAACTACCTCTGTTCCAGCCACTTACCTCTCCCGTGGCTAAGGCCACAAAATTATCCACTGTTTTTGGAACTGTCTTTCCAAAGAGACCAATGACTACCCGGCCTATATCTTCATCTCCAATTCGCAGATCAAAGTACACCTGAGGAAGAAGACCATTTCAAACTCAGCCTTTTTGAAGGGGTCTTGCCAGAGAAGCCAGGGCCCAAGAAGTTAGCGTGAAGGTCGTACAGAAAAGAGCCCTATCTTGAGAACAGTGGTTCTGAACCGGATTACGGTGGTAACAAAAACCCTATGAGAATGTAACGAAGGCTCCAGACACCTCCCAGAAAATGTCTGTCT